AGGTGGCGGAGAGGACCCCACGGGCCCTCAGGCAGAGCACTTGTTTTCTGGGGGGAAACAGGCCCGTCCCCGCTACCGGACACACATGCGTCCCGGTCAGGACCCCTCTTGGTGGGACTGCGGCGCGGGGAGGCAGTCCTGCCCCTTTGGGGGCACTCTCAGGGGGCGCAGGCAAGCACAGAGGGGCGTGGAGAGAGTGGGGCCTGTGGGTGCAGGAGTGTGCCCCGACCCTCCCGGCTGGCAGGACCGCTTCCCCCCGGCAGGCAGAGAGCACCCCCTCCTTCCCCCGCCCCAAGCACTCTTGGGGCCTGCGGCAGGCACTGGCCCCGCTGAGCTGCACTGGCCTCTTGCTCTGCAGCAGGGGTGGCCCACTGAGCCCAGCGGCGGTTACCCTGGCCCCAGGGACAGCCCTGAGTGGCTGGAACCGTGGGCTGGCAGGCTCTGTCCTGCAGAGGCCTCATCTCCAGCTCCCCCCAGGGCCTGTGGCCCCAGGAACCACAGTAGCCCAGGAGTGAGGCCCCCTCCATGGGGCGGGGGGGGGGGGGCATGCAGCCTCAGAGGCCCCCGCGGTGCTGGGCTCACACCCGGCCTCAGCCCCGGCCGTGTGTCCGGTCTCCCCTGTGCCTGCGGAGTGGGGGGGCGGGCAGTGGGGCGTACCAGGGCTGAGGAAGCAACGCTGGTGGAGAGACTGGGTCAGGGGGTTCGGGGATGTGCTGACCACCAGCAGGCGGGGGGGCAGTGGCAAGACTGCCCTCTATCCTGGGCACACGCTTCCTCCGGCTCCGTGCCTGTGGCCGCTCCTAGTCACGGCTGGGGGGGGGGGGTGCCTGGTGGGGTCCAGCCCAGCCCCGGGCTGTGGCAGGAGCTGGGGGATGTTGCGGCCAGGCCGCCCCTAGGTCTCCAGGAGCGGAAAGGCCCTTCTTCCTCCACTGCTGGTCTGGATCTGGCCAGCAAGTCTCCTGCCTGATGGGAGATAAGGGCCACCCCGCGGAGCCTGGCCTCCAGCCTGGTAGTTTTCCATCACCACGGCCAGTGACCAGCCTCACAGGAGGACGACTGGAGGAGCCAGTCGGGCTGGAGGAGCTGGAGGAGCCCTCTTTGGCTCCTAGCAGCCTTGTGGGGCATCTTTCCAGAAGCTTCTCTCACCATATCTGCAGGTGCTGGTGCCTGCCGCCACCCCCTAAGTGCTCTGGAGCCTCTGCGAGCCCCTGGCCCTGGGCACCACACTTTACAGGGTGCAGAGCTCCCCCGCCCCAGGGCCTGCCCGCTCACAGCCCCAGCCCAAGGAGCAGCCGCGCCGGCCAGGAGGAAACTGCTCTGAGACACAAAGTGCGCTGTCCCGAGGCGCCTCGCATTGCCTGGGCCTGCAAGTCCACCACGTCGCGCAGGGCTCGGCCGAGGCCCCCCGCCCAGCCCCAAAGCCCCAGCCCTCACCGAGGCCCCCGCCCAGGCCCCATGCCAGCACCCAAGGGCCCCCCACCCCCACCCGTGAAGCTGGCACTGCCCCGCGGCCGCCCCACCCTCCAGCGGAGCTGCAGCCTGGAGCCCACTCACCTGCAGCGCTCCTGGGTCACTTCCAGGTACTTTGCTGCAATGGCTCCAGCTCTCATAAATAAAACCCAAGGTCCCCGAGGTGGCAGGTGGCAGACACGGCCCCGGCACTGCTTCGCAGCTCTCCCCGCACAGGGCAGGACGCCCAAAGAGCCCAGAGGTGGCCCAGGCCCCCTCGGCCACGCTCCCGCTCCAGGCCCAGGTCCAGGGCCCACACATTGCCCGACACCACCTGCTTCCAAGCCCGGCTGGCTGGGCCCACGCTGGGGGGCCACACCCCTGTCCTGCTGGCAGAGGCGGAGACGCAGGGGGCAAAGCCGCCCGGGAGTGGCCAGTGGCGACAACTGTGCTGCCCTCGCCCCAGCGCCGGCTCAGCCTGATGGCACCGTGGAGGCCACTGGTGGCTCCACCACTGATGCCCGGGGCACCTCAGCTCAGGGCTCGCTTAGGCCTTCCAGCATCTGCTGGCCGGCTGCCTGGGCTTGGCCCCCACCGAGCACCAGGCCAGCGCCTCCCAGGGCCGTGACATCCGTGCCCTGCAGCTGCGTCCCCGGCTTGCAGGAAAGGGCCAGCGCCAGGCTCGGCCGGGGCACGCGTGTGGACAAAGCGGCGGGAAGGGATGAGCGTGGTGCCAGCACGGCGGCCCGCCCAGGGTTCCTCCGGCTGCGCAGCTGGGAGGGGCAGAGGCCCCAGGCCCTGCACTGCGCTTTGGGGCTTCTGGTTCTGGGGGCAGTGAGGGGGAGCTGCGGGGGGGACGCAACCCAGACAGTGGGGCCACCGTCTTCATTGTATGGTGTCCCTCTGCTCCGAGCCTGCCCGGCCCCTCCCGCCCCCTCCCCTGGTCCCCGCCAGAAGGGGCCTCCGACTCGGGGCAAACTTCCTGGCCTCCGCAGGCCCACTCGGGGGCGAATCGGCTTGGCTGGGCTTCAGCCCACGAGGAGACGGGTAATCTGGGGAGTTTTATTGGGAAAGTCTCTAGAATATCCTTTCTCGTCTCTCTCTGCGCACGGATCCTCCGAAGCCTCTTCCACACTGAGTCTGCTTCCCTTGTCTTCACGAGACAGATGGCGAACCCCTTAACAGTTGGGGACCCCAGGGGCCCCTCAGTCGTGAGCCAACACCTCTTCCAGATGCCTCCACAGGGCTTCTTCCGGCGGGGGGCTTGCAGCGGGGCGGCCCAGGCATGCAGGGCCCCCTGGCTTATGCCCACTCGCCAGGAGGAGCCTGAGGCCGGGGCGCCACATAGCCGCGCAGCTGTCAAGCCCATCCAAGGCCTCGGGAGCTAGTGCCGCACTGCGGCCAGCCTTGGCCACCTGGGAACAGAAGCCGTGTGCGGGACAGCGGGTCACCATGCAGCCACCCCACCCGGGGTCACAGAGGCCTGCTGGGGCGGTTGCAGCACAGGCCCTGGCACTGCCCATGCACTGCCCGCCTTTCCTGGGCCTTCAGGCCCCATGTGGACCCTGTGGCCCGGCCAGCCGCAAGGACCCACGAGGGCATCCGGCCAGGGCGGCGGGGTCCTGCGGAGACAGGTCCAGGCCCGGAGTGAGCGCCCGCTCTCTGCTCGCGGAGACACGGGAGCATCAAGTTGGAACAACAGCTTCACCTGGACTAGTTCAAAGAGGACGGATTTGCTCTCAACTCGATTTGTGGCATCAGCCCCCCGGGAAATGGATAACCCGATTATTTTCCACCACAAACTTGTGGCGTTTGCATCCTGGCAGTCGTTAGGCGCTGCTGGGTACTGGGCCCACCGCTGAGACGCGTGGCGGAGCCAGCCGCCCGCACACCTGAGGGGACGAGATGCTGCCAGGGCTCAGCGTGAGGTGACGGCGCCGGGAGAGCCGGGCAGGCCGTTGCTCAGCGCCGGCCCTGAGGAAGTGGAGGCCGAGCAGGTCAGGGGCCACCGGCCTCCGCTCACAGGACAGGGAGGGCCCCGCGGCCCTCGGTGCTCCTCTGGCCTCCAAGGGGGCGGTGCGGCCATCCCTACTCCACAAGACCCCGACTCGGGATGGGGGAAACATAGCCGGGTGGGGCGTGAGCTTCCCGCAGGAGGGGTGCGCTGAGCCGGCTGTGAGGGCTGCAGCCAGGCCAGCACCACGCATGGCCGGCCCTGATTGGGGGGGAGCCTGGGACTTTGGGCACCCTCCCCCCCAAGCTGGGCCTGAACAGAGCGGGTGTGGGTGACCCCCGGGAGCTGGTGTGGACAGCCGGAAAGCAGTGCACACATCCTGGGGTGACGAGGCCGGGCGGCCGAGGGGTGTGCTCCAGCCAGCCCCGGCCCACCAGGCAAGGGGCCACAGGCCACTGGCCGGGAACGGAAGGCCAGAGGCCGGGCCGAGCCCTCCCCAGGACAGACCTCAGGCCACCCCAAGCCAAGGAAGAGGGGTGCCGATTCAGGGGAGCCCTAGGCTGACAGACAGGGGGCGCAGGGGCAACACAGGCCACTCCAGCCCCCGAGCTCACGTGTGTGCGAGCGTGCCTGCTGGTGGGCATGTGTGCCGTGGACAGGCGCCCCCTCCCCTGCAATGCCAGGTCCTGCCACCACCCCCATCCCCACTGTCCCAGAGCTCCCGGGCCGCGGGGACTGGTGCTGCCCAGGAGGGGCGCCTGCTCCGCCACGGCCAGTCCCTTCCTCCCACCACCACCCCAGCCTTGTCGGGGTGAGGACAGACACCAGGGCCCAGGCTGGCTGCACTGGGGGAGCCCAGGCTCAGAGGCGGGGCTCCAGCACCTCCTGCAGCCAGCCCAGGCTTTCCCTCCCCAGCACCTGGGCTCCAGAGACACCTCTGGCCGGGGCAGGGGCTCGGCCCGCCTGGCCTCCACCCTCTCCCTCTGCTCCGGACTGGACGGGTGCTGCGGGGCGCTGCTTCCCGGAGGGACCTCCCCGGCGGCAGGTCCACCAGTGTCGAGAGGCCGGGGACTGTCCCAAAGCTTCGGGGGCAGCAGAGCAGGCCGGACGCAGCGCGCCCACCCCACCCTGGGCCGGGGCTGCCCGGGCAGCAGTGCGACGGGGGACCGTCCCCCTGCTAAGCGCTTCCCCGGGACGCCCTGCTCCTCCTCCTCCCCCAGGGCGCAGGCTGGGGGCCCGCCGCTGCGGCCCAGGGCGCCAGGGACACCTAGATTACAAAGGTTTATTTAGAAAATAGTGTGGCTGCGGAGGCTGTCGTTTTTGGCAAACACTGAAATACAGTCAACGACCAAAGACCGTCAGGGGCTCCGGCCGCGCGCGCCCCGGGCGGGCCGCCCTCGCTGGAGGGGCGCGGGGTGGGCGCGGGGTGGCGCGGGGGGCTCTGCCCGCACCCGCGTGCAGTCTGCGGCCGCGGCCCCCGGGCAGCCCTGGCCGAGAAGCGGAGCGAGGGGCCGCCCCGCTCGCCGCCCGCGCCCTCCCCGGCGCCGCGCGGACAGTCCGGCCCGGCCGGCCCAGGCCCAGGCCCGCGGGGCGCCGGTCACTGCCTGAAGCCGCGCCGGCGCCGGCGGAAGAGGATGTGCTGGAAGGAGCGGCGGAAGTCCTGGTTGAAGACGGTGTAGATGACCGGGTTGAGCGAGCTGTTGCAGTAGCCGATCCAGAAGAAGAACTTGAAGAGCGGCCCGGGCACGCGGCAGGCCTCGCGGCAGATGCCGTACAGGCTGTAGCTGAAGAAGAAGGGGAACCAGCAGAGCACGAACACGCCCATGACCACGGCCAGCACGAAGGTGAAGCGCTTCTCGCGCGCCTGGGCCACCTTGCGGCGGCACAGGCTGCTGCGCGCGCGGCGCCGGCGCGACAGGAAGAACTCGACGGAGCGCGCGCTGGCGCGGGACAGGCGGCCGCCGGGGCCCGGGGCGCGCGCGGCGGCCAGCGCGCCGGGGTCGGCCGGGCCCGCGGGCCCCCGCCCGTCCGCGCCGGCCGCGCCCCCCTCGCCCGCCGCCGCCGCGCGCCGCCGGCCGCCCCGCCGCAGCGCGCCCCGGCGCCGCCGCCCCCCGGCCGCCCCCCGCCCCGCGCCGCCGCCGCCGGGGCTGTCCTCGGGGCTGTCCTCGGGCGCCGCGCCGGCGCGCGGGCGGCGCGGGGGCGCGCAGTGCCCGTTCTCGCCCGCGCCCAGCCCGTTCTCCGTGGGCGGCGCCGCGCCGTCGGGGCCGCCGGGCGCGCGCTTCTCGCTGAGCGAGCGCGTGCGCCGCTTGGCCACCCGGTAGATGCGCGCGTAGACCAGGCCCATGATGAGGCAGGGCGCGAAGAAGGAGCCCACGCAGGAGCTCAGGATGTACCAGGTCTCGTCGTTGAGGCCGCACTGCGGGTAGGCGGCGCCGTCGGGCCGGCGGTACAGCGACACGAGCGGCGGGAAGGAGATGACGGCCGAGATGAGCCACACCGCCACGATGGTGGCCTTGACGCGCCGCGGCGTGCGCTGCAGGTTGTACTCGACGGCGCGCGTCACGGACCAGTAGCGGTCCAGGCTGATGGCGCACAGGTGCACGATGGACGAGGTGCAGAAGAGCACGTCGAGCGCCAGGTACACGCCGCACCACACCTGCCCGAAGTACCAGTAGGCCATGAGCTCGTTGGCCAGCGAGAAGGGCATGACCAGCGTGGCCACCAGGATGTCGGCCGAGGCCAGCGACACGAGGAACAGGTTCTGCGGCGCCCGCAGCGCGCGGCTGGTCAGCACGGCGATCACCACCAGCACGTTGCCCACCACGGTGAAGACGATGAGGACGCCCACCAGCGCCGCCAGCCCCGCCGCGGCGCCCGCCGAGTACTGGCCCGGGGGCGGCCCCGCGCCGGCCCCCCGCGCGGCGCCCGAGGCGTTGGCGGCCGCGCCGCTCGCGTTGGGGCCGGTCGCCGCCGCCAGCGCCGCCGCCAGCGCCGGGGCCGCCATGGTCCGCGCCGCGCTACGCGGGCCCGCGCGGGCCCGGGGCGCAGCCGCCGCAGCTCGGGCGCCCCCCGGCCCGCGCCGGCGCCCGCATCGCCGCCCGCCCTCCGGGGACCGCGGCGCCCGCAGCCGGCCCGGGCCGTGGCGGCGCGGCGGGGAGCGCGCGGAGAGGCGGCTGCGGCTCCCGCCCCGGCGCGCGCGAGTGCAGAGCGGGAGGCGCCCGGAGCGGCGCGGCGCGGCGCGCGGCGAGGGGAGGGGGCAGGCCCCGGGGTCCCCGCGCCCCGCCCTCGCCCCGCTCACGGGGAGCGCCCGGGCCGCGAGCCCACGGCCGCGCGGCGCCCGAGCGGGCGCGCCCCGAAGGCCCCGCGGCCCCCGGCCGGGGCGCGGGCGGCGGGCGGCGGCGGCCCGGGCGCTCCGCCTCCCATGCGGGCGCGCCGCGCTCCCCGAGCCCCGAGCCCGAGCCCCGCGCGGCCCCCGCGCCGACTTCACTTTCCCGGGCCGGGCGCCCCGCGCCCCCCGCGCCCCCCGCGCCCCGCCCGGCGCCCCCGCGGTCCGCGCCCGCCGCCGCCGCCCGCCGCCCGCCCGTGCGCTCGGCGAGTGCGGCCGCCGGCTGCGCCGCCAACTTGGGGCGAGTTGCGCGGCGGGGCGGGGGCGGGGCGGGGCGGGCGCGGGGCGGGGCGGGGGGAGCGGCCGGAGCCGAGCCGGGGCGAGCGGCCGCGCGGCGCCGCCGGGGTGGGGGGGGGAGGGGGGGGGCGGGGCGCGCGCGGCGAGGGGCCGGGCGGGGCCGCGCGGGGCCGCTGGCCGGGCCGGAGCTCCCGGGGCCTGCGCGCCCCGGCCGGGCACACGCACACGGCGCGGGCGCGCACACCCGGGCGGCGCCGGCCTCGGGGGCCGCGGAGGACGCCGCTCGCCCCGGCGCGCCGCGGGCGGCCCAGACCCGCCCCGGCCTCCGGGCAGGCGGTGCCGACCCGGGCCGCCTCCCCACCCCGGCCCGGCCCGCCGCGCCCCGGCCCCCCGCGCCCCGGCCCGGCTCCCGCCCCGCGGCCACGCCGGCCTGGTGGGGTGCGCTCCGCTCCGGTGCCTTGGGAGGGGGACGGGGCCGCAAACTCACCCCCCCCCCACAGACGCCCCCAGCTGGATGCCCGGATGGCGGGCGGCCTTGTGCGGGCGCCTCATTCCTCTCGGGGTACCCGGACCGCATGCCCCTGGCTCCCTTCGGCAGAGGCGCGCGGGGCCCCGCCGGGTCTGGGTCTGGGTCGGTGAGCCGAGGTCTGGGGGCGCGGGCCCGGGGAGCAGAAGCCGGAGTTCTCGGGCCTTGCCTTTCCCCAGGGATGCGGGGACCCCCTGCCAGCGGGCCCCGGGCGCGCCCCTCGCCCCAGCTCAGATGGGAGGGCGGCCGCGGAGGCCCAGGAGGGCCTGGGGTCCCTGGGGGGGAGGAGCATGCTCGAGGCCTGGACGCTGCCTGGGGCGGGGGAGACGGTCCAGCAGAGGGAAGGTGGCCTCCCAGGTGGCCCTAAGACCCTGCCCCCCCCCCCCCCGCAGCTGGCCAGCCACACAGGCCCGCTCAGGTTGTGAGGGGTTCTCATCTTCCAGGGAGCCCTTTGGGGGACCCACGCCCCAGCTCCACACGTCCGCAAGCAGAGCCAGGCTGGCACAAGGCCCTGAGAGGAGAAGGGACACTTAGCGCTGGGCCCCCGGGGCACACGGACCTCAAGGCCAGGCCAGACCGGGGGCATCTGGGTGCTGGCAGCCTAGTGGGGGCATCAGCCCTGGCACCGTGCGGGAGGCAGGGCTCTCCCAGCAGGTCAAGCCCACAGCCGAGGGCATGGGAGAGACCCCTCCCAGGCCCCCCCAGAGCACGGGGGTGCAGAGGCTTGGCTTCAGGGCCATGGGCACGCAGCAGTTGTAGGGGTTGCAGCTGCTTGAAAATGAGGTGTGGCCGCTGCCCCCGGTTCTCCTGGAGCGAGCCAAGGCCCTGGCCGGCCGGCTGGAGAGGCTGCCCGCAGGAGACTCGCTGGTACGGGCCTGGAGCACCAGGAGGGGCGCTGTGGGGCGCAGCTCAGCCCGCACGGAGAAGTGGGGACTTTGGGGCAGGGCTGCCCAACAGCCCCTCACCCCACCCCTGCCTTGGGAGCCGAAGGGAAGCACGACTCCCGCAGGGCCCCCGCCTCTGGGCGCCGCTCCTGGGACCCAGCTCAGGTGTTTTCTGGCACCGCCCACTGCACTCTGAGACGTGTGCACAGCCCCCATGCACACAGGCTTGCACGTGCACGCAATGCAGGGCTTACGCTAGTGCCTGCCCATAGCAGGCCCTGCGCATCCCCGTGCACCCCCCTGTGTCCAGCCACAGCTGTGCACACACGCCACAAGACCGGGCTGTCCAGTGTGCACACTAGTGCATGCACACACACACATGTACCCACGCAGTGCAGTACACACGTGTGCACCGAGCACAACGCCGCACACACCCACGGGCGTGTGCACTGCCTGCGGCCGGTCTCCCCAGGCTGGGGGAGGGTGTGCTGCAGCAGCTTCCCGGCCCAGCGGGGCTCTGCCTCCGGGGCCCCCTCCAGCCTCTCCTCCTGGCCTCCAGCCCCTGGCGACCCTTCCTGCCATCTGTCCTGGGGTCCCCTTCTTGGGATGTGAGCGAAGGCTGCACCCCAGGAGCCTCCCTCATGTCTCTGGCAGAACAGAGGCCTCTCAGGGTGCCCTGGGGGCCGGCACTGGCGCACGTCCTGCTGCGGGCCTTCCAGAAGAGGCCGGGCCTGGGCGCAGGGCCCCGCAGAGGCCGATGAGAGGGGGCAGGGCTGGAATTCGCCCGGTGCCTGGGGCCCGCCAGCCGCCTCGGCCTACTGTGGGCTGGGTGCAGGGAGCCCCGCTGTGCCCAGCACCTGTGCCCCCGTCCTGTGCAGGTAGGAGGTGGTGGGTGTGCACTTGAGCACTGCTCACCGTGTGAGGACCGCCTGCCTCAGTGTCCCCATCTGTGAAATGGGGGATTTGGCCAGACGGTTCCAGGGGCTGTGCGGGCTCAGCCCCCCTTGGCATGAGCTCCTGGAGTGGGCGCCTCGCTGGGGCTGGCTGGCTCTGGCCCCAGGGTGGCTCGCCCACCCAGCTCCCCGCCGCGGTCGCGAGGGCTGTCTGCTCTGTCGAGCCGAGTTGAGGATTTCCATGTTTCTTTGAAATTTCATTTTTCAAGAGGAGGAGAGAAAACAAGCTGCCTCCCGTGCTGGCGGGAGGGGGCTCCTGGCCGGCCCGCCTGCGCCCGAGTCTGGCTCCATCGCAAGATCGATCTGTGACGACGGCACAGCCAGGCTCGGGGTGGGGAGTCTCTGGAGAGGGACCTGCTGGGACCTGGCGGGTCTGCAGGGTGTGATGGGGGAGTGTGGTGTCTCCCTGAGCACCGGCTGCACAGCTCACACCCTCCCCTGCCCATCTGCAGTGGCACTGGCGCCTGGTGCCTTCCGGGGACACCCTGATGTAGGGTCCCGCGTCCCTCCCACACTCAGCCCGCCCCCACCCCGGCTGGTCGTGTGCCCCTGCTGCAGACGCGGGCGCCGCGCCAGGCTGCTCTGGGTCACGTGTGGGTGGCTGCCCGGGCTTGGTGCTCCACGTCCGCCCTGTCCCTCCGCCTCCCCCACGCGCCGGCCCTGGCAGTTGCAGGAGGCTGAGGGGCTCCCAGGAGTGACAGCCCCAGGCCTGGGGGGGCAGCGTTTGAGGGCCTGGATGGCGCCCCCCCTCAGTCTGCACCCTCCCGGCACCCCTGCCGCTCCTGCTAGAAAGGGCAGCGTTGAGAGCTTCCAGGAGGGCCGGGCTGGGGGCGGCGCCTGCCTCAGACGGCGCCTGGGGGCCTGGCCCAGGCAAGAAGCGAGGCGCGAGCAGGGGCCTCGCGCCGGCCTCGGGGGGAGGCAGTCGGGCCCACACGCGCGCACAAGGGTGCGTGTGAGTCAGAGACAAGGCGGGCTCCCAGGAGGGTCCTGGGCTCAGGCGTGGGCGCCCCAGAAGTGGGGAGACGGACCGGGTGCCCAGAGCCTCCGGGGGAGGCCCGGTCTTGTGATCACAGGGCCCAGCGCACACGGCGTGAGGACGGAGCTGGCGGGAGCCGGGGCTGAGGGGCCCGCGGGGCGCGGTGGTGGCTCCGTAACTGCCACCTCCCAGGGCCAGGTTTGCCGTGGCAGCTCGTCCCCAGCCCCGGCGGGGGTGATGCTGGACAAGGCCTCTCTGGGCCCTCGTGCTCCCGGAGCCCGGCTGGGCCTGAAGTGGGGGGTGGGGGTGCCCGGCAGGTGGAGGCCCGACGCCAGGCTGCCCAGTCCGGCTGGAGGCCCCGGCGCCTGCTCACCTGGGCGAGCCTGGGACACCCCTGGGGATCACACGTGCCCCTGCCGGCAGCCTGGCGCCCCAGGAGGACTCCGAGCCGCCAGTACCTCCACCGCGCAGCACAGGCCAAGCCCGTGGCTGGACCCGCTGGCCCTCGGGGGTCTGAGGACCTGGTGCCCACGTCACCGGCGCCCCTGCTGTCGGCCGGGTACCTGGCGGGGGTGGGTGATGTGGGGTCCCCTTCGTATGTCTCCAGCTCTGTGCTCGAGTTACTCCGGCAAATAAAAGTTGGAATGAGCGAGGGCTGGTCTCCCGTCCTGGCACAGAGCGTCGGCATGTCCCGGGCAGGCTCACGCCAGCTGCTCGTGTCCCCCGGCACTTGGCTACGTCCCTCTGGCCACACTCCCCCAACCCCTGAGCCTCTGGTGCCGGGCTCTGCCTCCGAGCAGCCGCTCCATCCCGCGGCTGCTCAGGTCATTTCTGGGCTGAGCACACGGCTCAGGGCCCCTCTGTGCAGGCCCGAGTCTGCTGGGCAGGCCCAGCTGCCCTGCCGGATGGACACCCCCCGGGGAGGGCTTGAGAGGGGCTGCCTGCGCCAGGCCTGACCTCAAAGAGCCTTACCGCCGTCCCCGCGCCTGGGCGGTCCCCCCCAACCCCACCCAGGTGGCCACGGGGCTGGCATGGGACCTGCC